CGCTGGCAGGAAACGGGCATCGTTAGCAGGTTTGCCCAGGAGAATTTTCCTCCCTGCCGCCACGTCCTGTCTCGCCGCTCAGCGCCCCCAGCGAATGCAGGGCCTGGATTTCTAGGGGGACCCACCCTGCTCGGAGGCTCCCCCCAACAGCAGGGGCAGCGTCTCGGTGGGACGCAGCAAACCCTGCGCTCACCGGGCTCTGTCTGGCCTGGGGTCCGGCGCACGAGGCCCCTGCGGGTGGGACCAGGCCCTCCCCAAGCTGCTGCGTTTCCTGGCTCAAAGCGGCTTTCGGGGCGGCGGGATGAATCTCCGGCTCCCATGCGGCCGGGGGCGGCCCCAGGTCTGCTGTCCCCGGGGACCCGTCCCTTCTCGCCACGCTCAGCCCTGTGGGGCCAGGCTGCAGCCCCCGCGTGGGCTCCTGTGGACGGGCTCCACATTACACCGCTACCCACGCGGGCCCTCTAGGGGTCTGGGACTCAAAGCGGCTTTCGGGGCGGCGGGATGAATCTCCGGCTCCCATGCGGCCGGGGGCGGCCCCAGGTCTGCTGTCCCCGGGGACCCGTCCCTTCTCGCCACGCTCAGCCCTGTGGGGCCAGGCTGCAGCCCCCGCGTGGGCTCCTGTGGACGGGCTCCACATTACACCGCTACCCACGCGGGCCCTCTAGGGGTCTGGGACCCCGCGGATCTCTGTGCTGGTGGGTGCCCCCACTTTGCCTTCGCCCCGGGGGTCAGAGCGCCGGACACGCAGCCGCGGGCCAGCCCGTTACCGATCCAGTGCTAACGAGAGGCGGGAATACGGGCCAGGCCCTGTTACTCCTCGTGGAATGAGATGTAACAGTTCATCCCAATTAAGGACTTAGTTCGGATTTACTTGAAACTGCCACGTGTAGCCGCGGGCAGTTCGTTCGGACTAAGGGGGATTTAAAAATGGCGTCCGGACGGGAAGATGCAAATAAAGCCTGGGATATTTAAATCCCGGGCTTCCTGTGCAACTCTGGTTGCCTGATTTGCCTCCCTAGCTCGAAGTAAGGAGCTAGTGTAGACGTACCCCGAGAAGAGCTGGATACATTCATGGAGGGTGGGTCTGTCACGGGCTAGTAGCCAGGCTGGGTGGGGGGGACCCCAGCCTCTGGCCGAAGCTGGCAATGGGCGCCGGGAGGGGTCACTGGCCTCCCTCTGGGGCGCCTGGCGTTGGCCACTGTGGGCAGACGGGACCCTGG